GGGGGGCGCCGGGGGGGGGGGGACCAGAAGGGATCGTCGCCTAGGGTGCAAAATAAGCTGGGGCCGGCCCTGCATCCAGTAAATTCCATGGCAGAGTAGACATTTGAAACCAGATTTTTCAGATCATAGTCCAACACTGTTACCACTACCCCATATTTTGTTCCTTCCATAAGCAGGTCACAGGAAGGGATGACCAATGACACCACTAAAGGAATGAAGCAGGAGTTCCTGATGCTGTGTTACTTTTAGCGGCTACAGAGCAGTTAGACATCACCTCTGAGGCATGACCTATTGAGTGAACTGTTAAAGGCACAATCCCTTCCAGAAAATTACTTGTTAACCCATTGAAAAACCTAAGAAGTGAACCTTGACCTTTATTGTTGGTAAATTATACAGTATGGCTACAGTTAAGACAGTATCTTAAAGACAGGACAAAAGGAACTGATGTATCCCATCTTTAAAAAGGGTTCCAGAGGAGATCCAGGAAATTACAGGCAAGTCAGTCTGACGTCGATACCGGGTAAGTTGGTGGAAACTTACTAAGGAAAGAATTAGTAGGCACATTGATGAACAAAAACTATTGAGGAAAACTCAGCATGGGTTCTGTAAGGGAAGATCTTGTCTCACTAACCTGTTAGTGTTCTTTGAGGGAGTGAACAAACATGTGGATAAGGGGAACCCAATAGATGTTGTTTACCTTGACTTCCAGAAAGCTTTTGATAAAGTTCCTCATCAAAGGCTCCTTCGTAAGCTCAATAGTCACGGATAAAAGGACAAGTACTCTTGTGGATCAAAAACTGGCTAATTAATAGGAAACAAAGAGTGAGTATAAATGGGAAATTTTCTCAGTGGAGAGTGGTAAGCAGTGGGGTACCACAGGGATCAGTACTCGGTTAGATGCTTTTTAACTTGTTTATTAATGATTTGGAGTTGGGAGTAAGCAGTGAAGTGGCTAAATTTGCAGATGACACGAAGTTGTTCAGGGTGGTGAGAACCAGGGAGGATTGTGAGGCACTCCAAAGGGATCTGTCGAGGATGGGTGAGTGGGTGTCAACGTGGCAAATGTGGCCAAGTGTAAAGTGATGCACATTGGAGCCAAAAATCCTAAATATAAATACACATAAATCAATGGTGAGACCTCATTTGGAATACTGTGTGCAGTTCTGGTCACCACACCTTAAAAAGGATATTATAGCTTTGGGAAAAGTGCAGAAAAGGGCAACTAGAATGATAAAAGGGTTGGAACACTTTCCCTATGAGGAAAGGTTAAGGCGCTTAGGGCTCTTTAGCTTGGAGAAACGATGACTGAGGGGTGACATGATCAAGGTTTATAAGATTATCCATGGGATAGAGCAGGTAGAGAAAGAAGTACTTTTCTCCCTTTCTCACAATACAAGAACTCGTGGGTACTCCATGAAATTGCTGAGCAGTCAGGTTAGAACAGATAAAAGGAAGTACTTCTTCACCCAAAGAGTGATTAACACATGGAATTCACTGCCACAGGAGGTGGTGGCGGCTACAAACATGGACAGCTTCAAGAGGGAATTAGATAAGCATATGGAGCAGAAGTCCATCAGTAGCTATTAGCCACAGGGTATAGTCAGGAACTCTCGGTCTGGGGCAAGTGATGCACTGTATTCTTGGTGCTGGGGGGGGCAACAGTGTGAGGGCTTCTAGTGTCCTGGCCCCACTGCTGGACCTCCTGATGGCACCTGATATTTTTGGCCACTGTGTAATAGAGTGTTGGACTAGATGGGCCATTGGCCTGATCAAACATTGGCTTCTCTTATGTTCTTATCTGGAGCTCATTCAGAAATATAGTCTGATTTCCCAGAGCAGTTGACTTGTACGTTTTGTAAAATTTATATAAAATAACAGTATGTCTAAAACAAAAAGCAAGGTGAATGAACCATATCACTGTATTTTACAAAACAAAACTGAGGCACGTTCTTATACTGAGTTGCATGATTTCAGATTCTGGAAAGATTTCTGATCTTGTGTGTAATCAACTACACCATATACTTTCCTGAATTGCTGTAGTACAAGGTGAAATAGTGCACACTGAAACATTTCAAACAAATTGTACGTAACTTTGGAGACAAAAATAAAATTCATAATCATTTGAGCTTTTGCAAAAAGTCCCTAGGGCCGTGATCTCACTGGCTCTGGAGTCACATATGGCTCTTCTGAGCAATATAGCACCTGCTCCACGTTCCAGGAAAGGGGCCAGTATCTTTAGAAACTGGAAAAAAATCATTACTATGGACCCAGTATAAAATGTTTAACATACAACTCAATGTGCCCATGATGATTATATCAAGAATGTGAAGGGGTAGGGATTCAGTCTATGAGACTGGGTCAATACATGCAACTTAATAAGGTTAACATGCAACTCATTTGGCCACCAAATGAGAAGGAAGCACTCACTGGAGAAGACCCTGATGCTGGGAAAGATTGAAGGTCAAAGAAGACGGGGACGGCAAAGGATGAGATGGTTAGACAGTGTCATGGATGCAACGAACATGAAGTTGAGCAAACTTCAGAGGACGGCGGAAGACAGGAGGGCCTGGCGAGATCTGGTCTATGGGGTCATGAAGAGTCGAACTCGACTGTGCGACTGAACAACAACAACAAATAAGGTGGTGGATTGGGATATGCCACTGTTGAACGTAGCTCATAATTTAAAAGCAACCTCTCAGTAGTAGGGAAAAGATAACCTTTGATGCTGTGGTAATGAAAAAGGTTATAATATATATTATTGTTTGCATGTGTTTGGTTTGGGGTGGTGCCCAGGGCATATAGTAGTCATGTGGCTCTTGTGATCGACAGGAATTGTGAATGTGATTCTCCCCAATTCACAAAGTACTCCTGCCATAAGAGAAGTCTCAAGGAGAGTGATAACTATCCCAGCTATGCAAAAAAACCTATCTCTAACTAGCTAGCTAAAATTAATCATGTTGTTCCTGCCTCATATTTTTTTTGCACTTTAACACATGCTGAATAATACACTTTGAATCAATTTTCAATGCACTTTGCAAACTGGATCTTATTTTACCTCATTTGTACCCTGCCTTTCTCCCCAATGGGGACCCAAGGCAGCTTACATAATTCTCCTCCATTTTATCCTCACAACCCTGTGAGGTAAGTTAGGCTGAGAGAATGTGACTGGCCCAAGGTCACCCAACGAGCTTCCATGGCACAAGTGGGGATTCCAACCCAGGTCTCCAAGATACTAGTCTGATACTCTTAACCACTACACCACACTGTATGAAACAGCAAAATCCACTTGTAAATTATTGCTTGACCGTATGTTCTGAATCAGCTTTTATGTTTTGCACCCGTTGTGGCATGTATGCATTGGAAGCAGACATGCTTAGGAAAGGGATGGGGTTCTGTTGTGCCCTTCATACAGCTTTCAGCGGGTGTTATGCCAGCACAGCAAAAGACAGTGTGTTAATGCTTTCTGCTTTCTAGTTCTAGGGAAGTTCTGAAGGAGTTACTCAGAAGTGCCTCACTCTTACTACTGTAAATGGCTAAAGCAGGGAGGGCAACTGCCAAGCAAAGTACATACCTTAATTTATTCCTGACCTCATGAATGAAAATAGGTAACTGGAGTTATTTCCCAGCAAGTTCTTTGTTCTTGATCTATACATTTTTTTCATCATGAGATTTTCATGGTAGAGTTATTGTGTATATAAGGTAATGTAAGGTAATGCGGTAACATTTTATTGGACTTTATGGGAGGAAATATATTACATTTTATTGGACTTTATGGGAGGAAATAGGTTTTATTGTTGCTTAATGTTTTCATTATGCACTGTAAGCTGCCTTCAGCCAGAACATATATTTATAATCAACCAGGATATGAACGTTTTAATAAATATATATTTTAAAGTGATCACTGAATTATTTACATAGCACCACCTACAAACGTGGCTCTAAACTGAGAATTGCAGCCAAACCGTACACACTTCACTCAAACCTTACTCTCATGTTCATGCAGGTGTCCTCAGTAGCCAGAGATTTAAAAGGTCCTGTCTATACATCTGTGTGACCGAAAAGAGATAAGAAAAGGCTAGAGGCGCCCAGACGGAACACTGAAAGCTATAGAGTTGCCAATCTCCAGGTAGCTATTACAACCGCTCTCCAGAGACCAGATCACCCGGAGAAAATGGCCTCTTTGGAAGTTGGACTCTCTGGCAACTTGGCCCAAACCCCAGCCCCCTCAGGCTCCACCCCCAAAATCTCCAGGTATTTTCCAACTCAGCGCTGGCAACCCTAGCAAAGCTGCCACTGGCCAGAATCCTTCCCGAGGACAGGCTGTGGACTGACTTTGCTCTTGAACAGTTCTGTGCTGCAACCTTGTATATTTAGCATCACGGCCAACCGCCAGAAAAAAGAAAGCAGAATATTTTTTTTACACTGAAAATTAGAATCCGCAACCAGTTCCGTTTTACACCGGAAGAGTAAGAGGAACGGTGGCTTTTCCCTACCCCCACCACCGCCCCGCACCGCCCCTCGGGAAGGCACAACTAACTTTTCCATACCCCCCCCCCTTTTCCGTCACGCAGAGAAAAAGAAAGCCACAGGAAGAGGCTTTTTCACTTAATGGGAATTAAAGTTTTTCTATCGGGTATCTTGAAAATAAATCTTGCCGACATCAGCACTCCTCATCCAATGTCAGGGCGAAAAGCCTGGCCCCTTATTCGACTAGTGTTTGGTTTCTTCCAAGATGGCGACAGAGCGGAACTAAGGAGAACAGAAGAATGGCACTACACTGAAGGAAATACTTTCCCGGAACCGGAAGTGCGTGCGCGAGGCTCAGCGGGCGTGCGGTGTTTGTGGCGTTCGCTTTCGGGGACCTGGGGGACAGAGTACGTGACGGTCGCGCTGTCTGTTTTCTGGCGCTATGGTAAGGTGGGGCGGGGAGGTGGGTTTTGAGTCGCGTTCTGGGGCAGGCTGCAGCTTCTGTGGTTGACTTTCTCCCTTCGTGGATACGAGGGGGCGAGGAGAACAGTATCGTGCTGACTTCTTTATAAAAAGGATTTTTTTAAAAAATGGTCTATACTAGTTGTGGGGGAGGAGATGGCAGGGGACGTCAGCTCGTCATGCATGCTGAGCCATTTGTATAGATTCAGGTGGGCAGCTTGGTCTGAAGTGGCAGAACAGAGTTGTGGGTCCAGTGGTACCTTTAAGACCGACAAAGTTTAATTCAAGGTATAAGCTTTCGGGTGCAACCACATCTGAAGAAGTGTGCTTGCACAGGAAAGCTTATACCTGGAATTAAACTTTGTCGGTCGTAAAGGTGCCACTGGACTCAAACTTTGTTGTGCCATTTGTAGTAATAGTAATAACACTTAGCATAGTGCTTTCATTGTACAAAACATATGCACATGCTCTTGTAACAACAGTCCTGTGTGGAAGGCCAACGGCCATATTCCTGTATGAGGATGTGAGAGAGGCCACCTAAGGAGTTCCTCGCAGAGTTGAAAGTCTCTGGAGCAAGCTGTAGTGCAGACAGGGCCATAGTTGGATGATGTTTCATCCATGGGCTCTAATGGTTAGAAGATGATCTGCTGTAAGCTTAGTACTTTTGAAAAAAAAATATTCATCACGGCATGGAAATGCCAATACCCCATCAGCAGATGGGAAGCAATATACGCATGAGAGGGGGGAGAGAAATAGTTGGTTAAGATGTCCCCAGGTTATCCAAAAAACTGAGATTTGGTGTTGAGACAACCTAGTACATACTAACTACTAGAAGATTATTAAAACTGAATGATTACTTGGAAAAAAAATAAACCTACCCTGCAGTTTGATTTTTTCTTTCCTTTTGGGGACTGGGAGAGATTGCTCATCCCTAAGAGGGGGAAAAGGCAATACTAAAGGTGGGAGCAGAGGGAAAGAATAGGGATGATGAAAGGAGAGGAAAAATAGGTTTAATACAAGGAGACTGGTGGGAACAAATAGGAGGGAAAAAACAAAAATGTCAACAACAACCAGGGGTCATTTAGTAGAAAAAGAGGTGCTGGAGCTCATTAGCATAACTCATTAGCATAACTTATTTGCATATCCCACACCCCCTGACATCACTGGAAGTGTGTCAGAAGGCAACACCCACCACTCAGGCTCTCCTGGACTCTTTTGGATTGCTAGCTATGGGGGGGAGATGCGCAGATCTGCCCTCACAGAGGAGGGAGAGCTTGTACCTAAATAAACCTTGGCCTTAAAGGTGCCACTGGACTGTTTTGGATTGCTATCTGGGGGGGGGCCCTCTGCAACCTACCTGGCTGCTTCTTGCTCCTTGTGGCCTGGGGCTGCTGGGAGCAGGAGGTGGGGCTTGTTGCATGTGCCCGCCCCTTGGGCTCTTTACTGCCGGAGCTGCACTCCTGCAGGAAATGACCCCTGCACACAGTGAGAAACCCATTTATATGTAGTGACCCTTCCATAGTGCTGTTCAGGTGGTGGGGGTCTTACAGGCAGTAAAGGACGGTCTAGTCCTGTGTTGCTGGCAACGAGGGGATGTCACTTCTGGTGTGCACAGGAAATGATATCATCGCATCACCAGCAATGCAGAGATGCTCTGGTATTTGGACAAAACGTCTGTGCTATTTGGGCAAAAACTCTGTGGTAAAACGGATTTTTACCATAAACTTTTTGTGCAGATACCAGAGCATCACCGGCAACACAATGACACTTCTTCTGGTGAGTACCAGAAGTGATATTGCCATGACACCGGCCTAGGCTTATCCCAGTAACTCACCCTACCCCTCGCCCCCACAGGTTGCTGGGAGTACCTGGCAATTCTAGCTTTATTCTATTTAGCATTGTATAGGAAGCTTGTGTTGTAATGTGGATCTTCCTGATGCCCGTTGCTATGAGTGTGTAGACATCCTTAAGGCCCTGTTAAAGAATGTTGCATACCTTATATAACAGACCCTTGGTGAATCACGCAACTGCCATTGCGTGCGGTGCTCAGACTCTAGGATGGACAGCAAAAACTGGTGAAGCCACTACATGTGGGGATGGGGGTGGAGCTGACTGGCCGGCGCTGCCATTGCCACACGAAATGGTGACAATGAGTGGGGTTGGTGGGGGCATGGAGTGGTGGTTTGCCTACTAAGGGACAGGACCAACAGGGGAGAAAGGAGGAGGAAGGCCAGCACATGGGTTGGGAGATAATTGGGCTGTCTTGTGCATGCTGCTCTGAGGGGAAAGACGCCCCAGCCTCGGAAGCAAGTGGAGGAGCAAAATGAGAAGGGGGTGCTGCTCTTGCCGCACACCTAAACAGCCGCAGAGCCGGGAGGCGGCGTGAGTATTGGAGAGGGTGGAGGATCGCGACCTCCCTTCTCCCCCACACCTGTTTTCAGCTTGTGAAAGAAAAACCATCACAGATGGACAGGAAGCACCCCTTGGTGATTTTGGACGCTCCATCAGGCCTTCCCATCAGCCCCTGCAGCTTCTGTGGGAAATGCAGGAGGGATGAGAACTGAGGGGGGGGGATTAGGGACAGCCAAGTTCAGACACCTCCTCCTCCTGAGCCTGGGGTAACCCAGGGATGGTCACTCAGCCTGGACTACTTCCAGGATGGGGGATGGGGGGGATGTGGCAGTGGAGGGGGAAGTCTGGTGTGCCTCCTCAAGATTCTCAGAGGTAGGCCAGGTGAAGAGAAAAAACAAAGAGGTGAATTGTAGCTGTGCTGAGGGTGGGTGTATGGGGGTTGTGCTGATAAACTACCTTATTTACTTGCAAGGAAAGTGATTCATCTCCTAAAAGTGCTATATATGCAAAAGTAACTAATTTTTGTGGAAATGTAAGATAACCCCCCCCCCCCCATTATGGTATCCCTGGGGGGGGATAGTCTTGCATATGATTAAATACATTTTGGGGGGCTTTTGTTCGTTCCCCAGTAAATCAGTTGCTTTCAATCCTAGGAATCAATTGCTTTTGTTTGTATTTTAAGAAAAAATAATATTGTTCATTGGGTTTGCCTGTGTCATTTATAAAGTTAGTATCTCCATACCTGGCATTACATTTTATGGCACACATGGTCCGGCCCATCAAAGTATCATTTATATTAGATCCAGCCCTTATAACGAGTTCGACACTTCTGACCTGTAAAGTGAATATTGGGGGGGAAGGGGGGCTTCTTTTGTGCATTTTCTGTACTCTAGATAACTCAGGAGAGTATCAAGCACAATCCATATTTTTAGATTAAAAGGGTATAATTTTTTTATAACAGAAGTTTGAAGTAACTCACTTTTGTCTTGCAGCCTCATAGGCGGAAGAAACCATTCATAGAAAAGAAGAAGGCTGTAACATTTCATTTAGTACACAGAAGTCAGAAGGACCCTTTGACAGCAGATGAAACTGCACCCCAGAGAATTCTATTACCTGCGCAAAAGGTAACTGCAGAATGTACAATTCAGAGGATTGATTCAATAGTTTGTTTCTAGTTTGCTATTTTGAGGGGTTGTGCGACGGTAGTACTTGCCTGAAAGGTTGTGTAATTCTTAGGACGTCTGTAAATTTTTTTGCAGTATGCCATAATATATTGTTCTGGAGTGTTTAAGACCCAAAGAGGCTTAGTTATACCTTTCTAGTTGTGGAATCCTAAAATTCACCTTTTGAATTCTATCAGTTCTGTCACAAGAGTGGTGAGGGACATTAACCATGTCTAACCTGCCTGCTTTTCCTGAAAGACTGCGTTTGTATCGACTCTTTTTGCAAGTCACTACTAGAGTGATCTATCTAACTGTAAGTTAATACTGCTGGACAAATTTGGTAACTTTTTTTTAAAAAAATAGGGAAATGATGAAAAACGGAGAGAAGAACAGAGGAAATATGGAGTCTTCTTCGATGATGACTATGATTACTTGCAACATCTCAGAGAAGCTTCTGGAACTTCTGAGCTTGTTCCATCAAGCATCCAAAGCCAACAAGGCAGGATTATAGTGACCAAAGAAGGGGAGGTTGAAGAGGAAATTCAGTGCATTTTGGTAAGTGCAGGAGCGGTGGTGATAGTTATTGTTCCAGTTTTGTGCCTTTCTCATTTGGCGATCCAGCAAATGAATCAAACCAAAATAAGAAGCAGGGTAGAAAGTTTTTAACTAAGTGTGTAGAATTTCCTGAAAACTTGTAACATAAATACTTAGAAACGTCTCCTGTTTTTTTAATATTTTGTTCAGTTAGAATAATGGTTATCTGATCTTGATCTCCTGTTAACAGGTATTAGGGATTAATGATACAGAAACTGGTTGTTCATGTTATCTTCTATTATGTTCTTTTTCAGTTATACAGCTTGTGATGCCCCTTTCCACACACACAGAGTGCCTACCACCACCTATCTCTCAGGTTCAGGGTTACAAGTAGGTCAGGTGTCACATTTGCTATCCTTCCCATCTCTTTTAAAATATAGAGAGAGCCATAACTATTTCACACCTCAGGTCCTCTCGCTCATTCACAGAGACATCAGCAGACAGGGTAGCCCAGCCCTTTACTAACAGATCCTCACTCAAATATTTCACTTAGTTATTGGGGTTGGGGCTCATACACTGTTCCAGTCACACAACCGCCACCATTTATTCATTTCCTAAAACATATGTAGACCAACATCTTCACTGTTGCGTATGCTTCTGTGTTTCTTTCCCTGCGGCATACAGCCCACAGATTTAAACAAGGAGTTAACTTTTATTTGTGGTTTGAACATAACATTGAATAAAATAAGGTAAATGCTACATTTTGTTTCCAATTGAACTTTAGAGATGTTTCCCTATTCCTGCAATTGGGATCCTTTGTCACAAATTGGCTCTTTTCAGCCAGCTCTAGGTAGCTCTTTTCCAGTTTCACTCAGCCAGTTTTCCTTGTAACTCCCTAGCTGCCAACTCCCAACTACTTTCTAACTGCAGTTTTACAACTATCTGTCCCTGACATTCCATTAGCTCTTAGGGAGAGGTGGAACATAACCTCTCCATCACCGGTAGAGGGCCTTACTATCTATTTGATGCAGGAAATTATTTGACACCTGTATGGAAAGTTTGGAGGCTTGGAGGGAGGTTGTTGCTAAACATTGATGCAGGTTACCAGTTCAGGATCTCTTAACAGGATACAATACTGTAGTAGCTGAGTGTTCATGTAGCACTCCTTCAACTATGGTCCTTTGTTATCAGTGAGATGATAAAAAGCAAGTGTTCATACACATGAATGTAGTTACACAGCTAACTAATTAAAGAGATGTGGTGAGATCAAAATGCAAGTAAAATTTAAATCTGTATAACCAGCAAGTCTTCCAGGAGCTTTCCTAGCGTTGTGCTATGGAGAGTGCAAGAACAGGGCAGGCAGCTGCAGACGTGTGTGGGAGAAAAGAGGGATATAACGTAAAATAAATAAGTACCCCTTCTGCTTGTTTTATTTTGGAACTTTGGAACTAGAGTCATAGGATCATAGAACCAGAAGGTTCCATACAGGCCATCTAGTCCAACCCCCTGCTCAATGCTGGATCAGCCTAAAGCATCCCTGACAAGTGTTCATCCAGCTGCTGGTTGAAGACTGCCAACGAGGGAGAGCTCACTACCACCCTAGGCAGCCAGTTCCACTGTGCTAAACTACTTGTACACTAAAAACAGAGTACTTTCCTCATGTCTTCCTTCTCAGTGGTCCTATACAATTAGGTGCAACTTTTGCTGGTTTCTTCTTTTATCTTGAAGAGGGAGAAAAAGAGTTCTCCAGGTCATGGTCTAGGTCTCTTTGACCAGCAGACGGGTGACTGGCAATAGTTAACAAATAGCAGGGTCACTTTTTGAAATCTTGTCAAGTGAATTCATATACAACTATTCTAGGATATGTATGTAGGATCCTGAATTGTTGTCTCTCTTACTTGTAGCTTGAAGCACTAGGAAAAGGTTTATATTGAATAGCTTCTTATACAGACACTTTTCTCTTTGAAAGACGCCAGCATTTGTGTGCCGATTCTTAAATTTCAGTAGAAAGAATTGTGTATCAACTGAATTGCACCTATTGTTAAAAAGCAAAAGTTCTGTTAGAAAGCCAGTTTGCTGTAGTGGTTAAGAATGGCGGACTCTAATCTGTAGAACTGGGTTTGGTTCCCCACTCTTCCACATGTAGCCAGCTGGGTGACCTTGGGTCAGTCACAGTTCTCTCAGAGCTGTTCTGGAAAGAGCAGTTCTCCCAGAGCTCTCTCAGCCCCACCTATCTCACGGGGCGTATGTTGTGGGGAGAGGAAGGGAAAGGAGATTGTAAGCCGATCTGAGACTCCGAGTGAAGGGTGGGGTATAAATCCAACTTCTTCTTTTTCTTTTTTCAGAGAGTTTTGTCTCTTGATAATTATTTTAAAGAAAGGGGCTGGTATTTCTTTGATGTGTTTTTTCTTTTCTTTAGGCTCCCACTATTAATTTGCCCTCATCAGTGTTTGCATCAGATTTTGAAGAGGATGTGGGACTGTTAAATAAAGCTGCTCCTGTTTCAGGTACTAAATTTAAGCTGTATTTGTTCAATATTAACCCGTCCTTAATATATTGCTGTTGCTGTGTGACCAAATAAGATGGAGGTAATCTGGTTTGGAAGGCTGATTTTTGTTGTTGTTGTTGTTCTGAATGGAATGGAGTTGGCTTTTGCAGAGCGGATTAAGAATTTGGGTTCGCCCGTAGACCCAGCTTTGCTGTTTGAAAAACAGACTGGTGTAGTGGCCGAGAGTGCCTTCTGTCATCTGCATCTGGTTTGCCAACTCTCTCCTTTCTTAAACTCAGCCAATGGAGCATGCTGATCCATGCTTTCGTAACCTCACTGTTTGATTGCTACAATGCGTTCTACATTGGGCTGTCCTTGAAGCCACCCCAGAAACTGCAGCTGGTTCAGAATTCAGCAGCCTATTTATTGTCAGGGCCTGGTTGATGGGAACAGATCTCTCCAATCTTAAGACGTCTACATTTGCTGCCCGTTTATTTCTGAGTTCAATTTAGTGTTCTGATTATGACCTTTAAAGCCCTTCACAGCCTTGGACCCAGATATCTATTTCTTCCCATATGCCCCGTGTGCCAGTTGTGGTTCTCAACTTGCTACCTTCCTCCACTTATGACAGCCCACCTGACATCAGCCAGCACACTTCCATTGTAGGTCCCACTTTGTGGGAAAGCATTTCTGCAGAGGCGAGGAGGATGCCATCTCAAGAAATTATCAGCCGGCGCTCCAAGGCCACGTTATTTACCAGGGCTTTTAATGAGTTAGAGACTGCAGGCAGTTTAAAGGTAGCATTTACTTTATTCTGTATGTTTTAAATCATGATTTGTAAGCCACCTTGAGCCACAACGAAAGGCAGGATATAAATGTTTTTATACATAAATGCCTGTGAAAAACTAAAGGGGCACAGACTTGAGTATCTCATTCTTTGTTCAAAATACATAGAAATTTCTTCAGTCTCTCTCTGCTGTCACATTGTTATCAGCCATGATGACTCATACAAGCAGTGAATGTTAGCAATGAAATGTTTGGGAGGCTTTATTAATATATGATTTTATCTTTCATTAGGGCCCAGGCTGGATTTTGACCCCGACATTGTTGCTGCACTTGATGATGATTTCAATTTTGACGATCCAAATAATCTTCTTGAGGATGACTTCGTTTTAAATGCCAATAAGCCTGGGAGCATAGAGCAGGAAGAGGAAGGTTATTGGTAATGAAATGGAAAGCTACTACCGCATTTTTTTATTAATTGCAGTCGGGAGAAAAGAAGGAAACCCTGCTACTAGTGAAACAATAATGCTGTCTAAGTCTCAAGTGCCTGTGACCACAGGCGAGTCTGGGTTCAACCCCTCTTAGATTTTCATTCATGAAAATTATCTTACTTTCCCTTGTCCATCTACAAAACAAGTAAACAGTGGTATGTCAAGCAATTATCAGATTAGTGGTATGAGAAGAGTGCCATAAATGCCAGATAGCTAATGTGTTGTTTTTGTGCTCTTCACAGGGAATCGAAAGCTGGAGATGAAGATGAATGGGAGGACGTGGAGGAAGAGGAGATGGATGGAAAGAACATTTGTAGTGATGGAGAGTATGAGTCTGAGGGTCCTTTGTCAGATGACAGTGAAATTGGAGGAGAGATGAAAGAATTTCTTTTCATGCAAGAAGAGACCAAGAGCCGTTTCACAGAATACTCCATGACCTCCTCAGTAATAAGAAGGAATGAGCAGCTGACCCTTCTGGATGAGAGATTTGAGAAGGTGAAGAAATCATTCTGATAAACCCCGGAGCAACCCTGTAAACTATTCCTCATTTCTTCTAAAGATTCCAGGATATAAGTTTCAGGATATAAGACATCATAGTTAGTTTTAACTGTCACAATTCATTTCCTACATTTATTTCCCCCTTTCTCCCAAATGGGAACCCAAAGCAACTTACATCACTCTCTTCTGTGTGTGTATGACTGGCCCAACGTCACTCAGCAAGCTCACATAGCACATTGTTTTATCACAACCGCCATGTGAGGTAAATAAGGGCCTGTGTGTGTATGACTGGCCCAAGGTCACTCAGCAAGCTCACATAGCACATTGGGGGTTTGAGCCTGGATCTCCCAGATCCTAATCTGACCCTAACCACTACATCATGTGGGCTAATATACAGCTGCTGTTCTCAAAACTATGAATTATTTCACTGCTCAAATTTGTTACCATGGAATATGGAGACAATGGGGATGCTGTGCACTTATTTGCAGCTACATTCTGTAACCAAGGACGGCTTCCCCGCACCTGCCTGTAAGAAGGAGGGGTCATCATCAATGCTCCCTCTAAGCTGTGGAGTCTTGTGAGCTACTGGCATTAAAGTTGTGAGCGAGCGATTTGGCTACTGCGTACATTAGTTTGCTCTGGAGCCATCCTTTCCTGAGCTGAGACAAAAATGTGTGAACCAGAGGCTAAAAAACTGTGAGCTAGCTCACACGAACTCAGCTTAGAGGGAACACTGGTCATCATCCAGGAATGTTTTTGTATCCCTGATAATTGAAGTTTTAGTGAGTTGTAGTGTGCAGATGGGAGACCACCAAGGAAATCCAGGGTGGTTCTGTAGAAGCAGGGAGTGGCAAAGCACCCCTGAATGTCTCTTGGCCTAAAAACCCTATGGATTTGCCTTAAATGACATATCCTGGTTAGTAGATCAACAATTTCATATTTGAGCTTTATGCCATCAGGGCCTGAAGAATTATTGGTCTTAATTTTACAGTGGATCTGGAATTTCATCTCCCATCCTCTCAATTTAACTCAGTTCTTCAGACTCATTTCCTAAAAATAGTCACTATGGTCTGGTCACATGCCTCACATTTTTCACTTTATTTTTATTTATTTATTTAATTTATTTATTTATTAGATTTATACCCTGCCATCCCCACCGAAGCAGGCGCAGCTTTAGCAATCTTTTTATTCCTTGGTCATCTAAAGGCTCAACTGCCTCTTTAGCTGGTTTCCTGCTCTGGATGTCTTTAAAGAAATGTTCATTTTTTTGTCTTGGTGCGTTTAGCAGTTCACCTCTCGCATTCCTTTTTCCATGCCTTATTATTATCTGAACCATATTTTGCCAAACTCGTGCTCCCTTTTGTTCACTTCACTGGGACAGACTTTCAATTTCAAAAAGAAACCTTTGCCTTTGAGGACTTCCTTAACCATGTAGGCATCCTTTTAGCTTTGAAAGTAGCTTTTCTAATCTGGGGAATGCATTCTATCTGGACTTCAATTACTGTGGTTGTAAATAGCTTCCAAGTGTCATTTAGGGATTTGCATCTCCTACATTTCTCTTTCAGCTTCCTTCTGACCAATACCCTCATTTTTGTAAAGTTCCTTGTTTTGAAATCAAATGTTAGTGTTTTTGAACTTCAGGGAAAACCTCCCATTGACATGACATGCATGCTGAATAGCATTGTGGTCGGTATTTCCAACGGTGACCAGGTCTTGAACCCCACTCAGAACCAAGTCAAAGATCACTGCCCCTCTAGTTAGCTATGTTACCAACTGTTCCAGTGCTCATGTCGTTTATGGTGTCTAGAAATCTCATTTCTACAGCAGCATTTGAGCACATGCTTACCTAGTCAATATTATAGTTGAAATAACCCAGTTTCACAACGTTATCCGCGTTAGTCACCTCATTTCCTTCTCCGTGTTGAGATCAGTCTCAAGGATTGGATCAAGTGGGTGATAGTGCACCCCCCACGTTTAAGGATCTTTCAGGGCCCAGCGTCTCCAGCCATATCACCTCTGCTGGGGAGTTCATTCCATGTTAGCCTGTGTCACAGAATAAAACAAGAATCCAGGGGCACCTCAGAGGCTTAACAAAATTGATTCCAGCATTAGTTTTTCTGGGTCAGAGCTCACTCACTGAGATGCACTGCAGTGTAAGTCCATCAGGCTGATTTATAGGGAGAGAGGGGACTCTCCCTATAACTGGTTCGAACACTGGTTCGAAACAAGATCCAATCCAAAAAGTAATTGACAACAGGCAAACTGTGCAACATAGTGCAGGGAGAAATAAGAAGATACATAAGGAAGTCAGAGAAGTACAGCTGAAGTCCTTAACATCCATAAGGGGCAGATATGCAAAATATCACTCATGGATGAGCAGGCGGGGGATGTGGGGCTTTCATCCAACAGATGGAGCTCGTCCAAGCTAACCAGTCTTGGAAAATCTAACCAATAGATACCGACTTCATCCAATAGTGATTAATTTCTGTAGTATTCACAGTAATACTATGTTTTTGATTTTAGTTTTTCGAGCAGTTTGATGATGACGAAATTGGAGCATTAGATAATGCAGAACTGGAAGGCTTCATTCAAAGTGACAGTGCTCGGCTACGGGAAGTCTTGAATGACTACTACAAAGAGAAAGCAAAGGAGTATGTAGATGATTCTTGCTTTTCGGTAATTCACATGAGTAGCCTTAATTCCCAATATGCATTTGATTTGTGGGTCTCAAAGAGCTCCTCACATAGTCTGTAAAAGTGATTGGACTCTAGGCTTGCTTGCCACATTGCGTAGCAGGACTGCTGTAGTTCTCAGGTCTGCTATATTTATCACTCCCCAGTTATATTGCCTCAACTTCCTAAGCATATCCAGTAGTATCTAGGCTTGTCAAATAACGGCCCCAGTCACACGGGCAGGAAAATGTGGGGGGGAAGCGTGGCTGTTTGCCCGGAGCAAAATAACGCGCGGCTGCTCGATCAGACGTCCCGTCGAGGTCCCGTGGTTAGGGGGGAGGTGCCCATCACAGGACAATCCTGCTGCGTGGCAAAAAAGCGGCCTTTCTAGCAAAAGGCTCCACGGGTTTAACCCCTTCCAGGGCTGCAGAGGAATGCAAACTGTGTCCTTGTCAGGTCCCCTCCAGGACGAGCGTCAGCCAGGCTGCCCACCCGCCACGCCCCCCCCCCCCTCGGCCGGGGGCGAGGCGTGGCGCTGGATGCCATGACCTACCACCGGAAACACGATCAGGCGCCCGCCCTTGCCCCGCGGTTTCCGGAAACTAGTACCTCGGAGGTACTAGTTTTTTACCCCGCATCTTTGGCGGGAAGACTCGGGTTCGCTGCGGGAGCTCTACGCTTCCCAGATGTGGCGCTGTGATTGCGCCCGGAAAATCCGCCTATCTTCCGTCTCTGTACCGTGGCTAATGCTCCGTGTGACCACAGCCAACATGTATTTTTATAGATGCAGGTGAACTTTGCTGTCTTTGCAGTCAAAGAGTAAGCAGTGTAGGAATTGGTTAGCTCTATCTGCCAGTAATATATTGCTAGATGGAAAGGTTCTAATACCGAGATATGAAGCTAGCAAACATTTGATTTATATGCTACTATTTTAGGCCTATTTTAAACCAGCATATTTGATTGTGGCTTGAACGCAGAGACCGAAATACTACACTTTTACACTTTTCCAAAACATAATATGCGTTCTGTATGCTTATACTCCATATATACCAACTGTGATCACTATAAAATCTATTTCTGATTTACGAGTTATGTTATAAATAGGGGGCAGTTCATTTTAAAGTTGAATCATTGTTCCATTCAAGTGTTCATGTGCCTTTTGTGTGTGTCTTCCTTTATAAGCTGTGTGAAACTAAATGACCTTGAAATCGGGGAGGATTCAGAGGTGCTCCTGAATAAGTCAGTAGAAGAAGCAGATGAAGAACAAGAGGAAATTGTAACTTTAATTATAGAGGAGCCCAAAGAAAAATGGGACTGTGAATCCATTTTAAGTGAGTATTTAATGCATTTTCCCCAGATGAGTAAACAGTGCAAGATTATGATGTTGCTCTTGTTCAGGCTAAAAGGGTTATGATTTTTTATACTGTTCTGCTGTGGTGTATGTGTCTGACAGGTACATGGTTTCATTATCAAGGCAAGTCTTTGGTGGATTAACTGTGTAATGTTTTGCAACAGGTTGTTACAATTTATAGCGATCTTTTATAATTTGGGGGCAGGGGAATTCCTTGAATGATCACCCTTACATGTTTTTCTCGTTCAGGTACCTATTCAACCTTATACAATCATCCAAAACTTATTGAAGTTCCACAAAAGGTAAATTAGATTTTCATTCTATACCATGTTAAAACTTATATAGTGAATGTGATTAGTTTATGAAGAGAGAGCTTGAAAGATTAAAAGAGCGATATTGATATTAAAGTATTTAAATTATTTTGGGGACAACAAAGGAGATTCTTTAGATTTGCTTGTCACTGGCTCCAGAAGAACTAATTGACGCTGGCTACTGTTTCCTTTGTTTTCTGTTGTAGCATCACATATTTTTGCTTTCACATTCATACTGAAAGCACACATTTTTACAACCACTGTTTCCCAGAAAACCATGGCTAAAGTGATTTGACACCATAGCAAATAGTAATCATGGTGGGCATTGCTTCAATAAATCATTTTATCTTTTTGTAGAATGACTGGTACTACCCTACTTTGTAACAGACCAGCATTTTTCAGCAAGTACCAAGAAATAAAGATCAATACATTTTGCAACATTTTGCAGATGGCTTTAAAAGACAAGGTGGCATTTCATTTTTTCCACACTTGATTTTTAAATTGTTTTGGTTAAACATTTGATTTGACCATTAGGTACTATAGTTTTTACTGAATTTATTTTTGGATCTGACAAATGAATTTGGCTTAGGCAACTGCATAGTTCTCTGAGGAAACTTGTGAACTTCTTAAGTTGCTGGGTTGTGAATTTAGTGGAGAAGTTTCACATTGGCAAAGTAAGCCATCTCACTAGCCCTTGTGTATGGGGGTTTTTTTGTTTGTTTTTTAAAGCCAAAACCAATCAAAGTGTCCCATAAGACTGGAATCCCACTGGATGTTTTGCCTAAAAGAGGACTTACAGCTAAGCAGGTTGAGTGCATGCAGATGATTAATGACAGTGACCTGCCAAGAGTCTCCACACAACCACGTCCCAAAAAGGAAAGTAAAGAAGATCACAAAGCCAGAAAACAAGCTATCAAAGAAGAACGCAAAGTAAATTTACTTTTTTTCCCTTTAAGTAATGAATGTCAGTACAAAAGTGCTGTTTTAAAGCAAGCTTATTTAATCTAAATTTTGATAGTAAGAAAGGGAGAAGCATAAGAAGTCAAGAACTGGAATATGTAGGAACTAGGAGTAAGGCCCGTTGTGGGAAGAAATACAATGAGCTCTAGAAAGAAGCTCCAGGTGAGTGTCCCAGTTGTGGCTGGTGGAGCGGCAGAGGGAAGGGGAAAATAGAGGGAGGCAAGCCATGTTTCTTTCCTTCTGCTTAGCTATAAGGCAGGGCTGTCTCAAGTCATTTTGCTGCCCCAAGTGGGTAGTACGGGAGGACAGCCTCATGGTAACAGGTATGGTTCCCTCAACCCCTGACGTACGTTGATTTGAGGTTATGCAGTGGCAGCTAATGTAGAAAAGCGCCTCCTCCTATGCCATGTCTTCTGGGTTCCCAGGGTCTGGAAAGTGGTTCCATAGCCAGTTACAGGGTTGCCAACTCTGAGTTGGGAAATACCTGTAGATTTGAGGGGTAGAGCCTGGGGAGGGCAGGGTTTGGGGGTGCAGAGGGACCTCAGCCGGGTATAATGCCATAGAGTCCATTGCCCAAAGCGGCCATTCTCTCCAGGAGAACTGATCTTGGAGATCTCCAGGTGCTGCCTGGAGGCTGGCAATACTAAGGGGAGGACCAGACCTGTAGATTTGAGGGGTAGAGCCTGGGAAGGGCAGGGTTTTGGGTGTTTAGAATGTTAGAGGCAAAAGCCAATCAGGCTGCATATGCAAATGACCTCTGTGTTCTGACTGGCTATTAGTGGGAGAGGAACAGCAAACTGTTTAGAGTATTGGAGGTGAGACTCAGGCAACACAGCCAGTGGATAGGGACAGCTTCTGTTCTGAGTGACAGATCAATGAGTCAACTGATTTGGAAGCGTGTGGAATGTTCAGGAGAGTCCATAACCAAAACAGAATTATTATATAGAGAGATGGTAGCAGAATACTGCTGACTTCTCATTGTTGTCCATCCTTATGCAGCATCCCTCTAGCACAGCAAAGAAAACACTAGAGCAGGCATTGTGTGCTCTGCACCTGCTGGATAATGGTTGCAGAAGATGTATTAGCGTATGTTCTATTTGCCATAACTTTTATTGAAAATATTTAAATGGGCCAGTTAAACTCATGAAAAGTTATGCAAGTTTTCTATGTGTAAGGATATCAGTATACCAATTTCTTGAGAGCCAGTTCAGTGTAGTGGTTAAGAGCGCAGACTCTAATCTGGGAGAACTGGGTTTGATTACCCACTCCTCCACATGCAGTTGTTAGCGGGTGATTTGGCTACTGCATAAATTAGTCTGCTCTAGAGCCATCCTTCCTGAGCTAAGACAGAAATGTGTGAGGCTAAAAACTGAGCTGGCCCACACTAACTCAGCTTAGAGGGAACACTGCTCACAGGATGTCTGTTGTGGAGAGGGGAAGGGAAAGGAGATTGTAAACTGCTCTGAGACTCCAAGTGAAGGACGGGGTATCAATCCAATCTCTTCTTCTTCCCTACAGGAACGCAGAATAGAGAAGAAAGCAAACAAAATAGCCTTCAAACATGAGAAAACAAGGCAACAGAAAGAGCTGCTCAACTTGCAACAGAATGTTCAAGGGCTCAAATTGTTATAATCAGATTAATTGCTTCTTATGAAGGACATTCAACCACCTTGTTCTTTGTTATCATCTCTGAAAAGGTTACTTTCGCTGTCTTCAGTCTGTTCTGACACAGAATAATATCTTCTAGCGAAATTGTTACCCAATATTTGGTACAAAATAGTGGAGACTCTGCATAAAGAAGTATCTGGCCGGGATGTCAGGGCTCCTCCATTTTGAAAAGTTGTATTATGTTATTATTCTTGTGCTGTATGCTGCTGTATTGTAACACACAATCTGGCAGAACCACATAATTCTAGAAGAACCAAAAATAACAGAAAAGAAGTGAGATTACTGATTTTAACAACATAACAGCTTAAAACCCATGAACAATTTGTGGATTCTCACTCCTGAGAAGAGGAAGTCATATGCTGATTTACAGTGTGATCATTTAGGGAATCAGTATAAGCCCTTTGATTTCTTCTGGGCTTACATTGGAATTGCACTGTTAACCTCATAATTTGTCTATAATAAAGATACGTCCTTAAAAGTTATTTATATAGTTTTTAAATGGGCAAAGTGTTCAAAGACTTTGTTATATAAGTAAAATTGGATAAGAAAAATCATTTATGCTGTCCTGAGCTTCTTGGAGAACAGGTGGGGTAAAAATGGATGGATTGATAAAAGTTTAAAAGTTGGCACTTAATTTCTTAGTCCAGTTTAAATCATTTTTCAGCATTTGCGGCAGTGCTTGGGTTATATTTCCTTGCCTGGTTGTACTGTTTTTGACAGTAGTTACAGTTTGCTTTCTGTATACAAAAAGCACCCCAGAAATCTATGCATTTTGCCATTGGGGCAGGGTACTTTTTACTCCAGTCCATGTCATATTGGGATACAAAAAAGCCACAAGAGTCATTAAGAAAACTCTGATCTGAGAAATCATTTTTAAGTGGTCTGGAGAGCTATACAGCCTTTTCTGATAATCTGGAGTACATTTACCTCACCACAGGGAGAGATATTGGTGGGTTAGTGACAAACCACCCTAAATAAAAAAAGACGTTAAGAATTATTAGTTTTGACATGTTTTCCTTTATAATGCATATTAGGTTGTTAGTTATCTATAAGTGGGAACATGCAATGACTTGTGGGAGGCATCTCATTTCCCTCTCCCCCACTATTTCCTTTTTCCCATCCCTGAAAGCCCCCATAGCCTTTCTCCTTTTCCTGCTTCCTTCTCTCCTTCCCATCCAACAACCAACCTACCTTTATCATTCCCTCTTACCGCACCCCCCCATCCTCTATCTAGGAAAACTATGGCACAATTGTGTGATGCTGGTCATTACCACCACTGAAACTCCCTGTATCACCCCTACCCTATTTCTTGTTTTCCTCCTGGCAACCCCCATATCCTCTCCCCTTTCCCTGCCTCCTCGGCCATTAACCAGCCTACCTTATCTGCTTCTCATGTTCAGCTATGTTTATTATTTATTTACTTCATTTACACCCCATCTTTCTCTGCAATGGGGACCAAGGCATCTTAGATTGTTCTTTCCTTTTTTTTATCCTCGCAGCATCCTGTGAGGTAGGTTAGATTGTCCAAAATCACTCAGTGAGTTTCCACAGCTAGATGGGGATTTGAACCTGGGTCTCCCAGACTGTACTCTGAAGATTTAACTACTACATCAGCTATCATAGGGTGGCTGCTGTTGAATAATAGCAAGCAGCCATGCCTAGTTGAGTCATGCAAGTCAGGTGGTATCAAGTCAACCAGTGGTTGCTGCTGGCCCCAGGCCCGGTTTTGAAGAGTCCTCCCTCAAAGGCCAAAAGAGCACTAGAAAGGACCCTGCTCCCTCCCCACCTTTTAGTCACAGAAACTAAGTATAGAATGCTGTGGTTGCCTAGCTACAGCCACGGAATCTATTTTGTAAAGCTTCAAAGCTTTTATCATTTTGAGGGCGGGGTAAAATATAATAAATAAATAAATAAATTTTAATGTTTTTTTTAAAAAACTAATTTGTGTTTTTTTAATTTCAAATTGTTATGCAGATTTGGGTCGTTTTTCAGGTTTGTAGAAAGGTCTCTTGCCTGTTCACAGCTCTAATCACTGGACTTAAGTACACTCAGATTTGGCTGACGACTATTAGAATATAAGGAGCAGCTATCCTGTTCCCTTCTTTGCTTCCTCCATTCTCCTACTTCTTTCAGTCTGTCACTTTCAGTCTGTTCACTTTCTCCCTTCTGTCACCTATCCCTGTCTTTTTCTGCCTCCTCACCTCATCGATCTCTGCCTCCCACCCCATCATTCTCTTTGTGCCCCCCACCACTCTCCCAGCCCTGCACCTGCTTCCTTCCCCCCTCCAATGGTGGCAGCAGTGCTCCCAGCTGCTTCTTCAGTCCTCTCAGCAACAGTGGCTCTCCAGAAATCAACAGATCTCCTGACTACAGAGATAAGTTACCCTTAGGGTTGCCAGCTCTAGGTTGCAAAATTCTTGGAAGATTTGGGGTGGAGCCTTGAAAAGATGAGGTTTGGGGAGAAAAGCAACCTCAGCAGGGAATACTGGCAAAGCTCACCCACCAAAACGGCCATTTTTTTCCAGGGGAACTGATCTCTGTCAGCTGGAGAGCAGTTATAATTCCAGGTGATATCCAGCCCTCTCCTGGAGGTTGGCAACACTAGTTCCTCTGGAGGAAATGGCTGTTTTGGAAGGTGGAGGCTATTAGTATTATACCCTTCTGTGGTTCCTCCTCAAACCCCAGGCTGCACTCCTCAAATCCCCAAGAATTTCCCATACTGAAGTTGGCAACACTATCTTCTCCCACCCAACAGCCAACCTACCATTATCTGCCCCTGTCTTCAGCTTTCTGTCTCCTCCCCCTATGCAGCCTCTACATAGGAAAACGACAGCCTTTCTTCACAGTGGAGACCAAAGCAACAACATTTTATTTGCACAACAACCTTGTGAAGTAGGTTAGGCTGACTGGTCTACACCAAGATTTGTCTTGTTCATTCACAGTTTCAGCCACTGGATTTATCCAAAGATTTGCTGACTTCGCTATTAGAATATAAGATAATTATCTTAGGTTCAAGCTATAACTTCTTGTTCCAAAGTGAAAAAAAGCAATAGCTTTGTAAAGGAATCAATACTGATATGAGCTATTCAATGTGCAAAGAGGGAGGGAAGCCTCTATGCAAAAGAAACATTCTACTTCATATCAAAGTGGGTTTTCAAGCTCTGGATGTTTTAGTACTGTGAAAAACAATGATTTCTGCCACCTTAATCAAAAAAACAGTTGTGTGGAACTTTTCTACTCCAAGATATATTGAATTTGGGTTGGGGGGTACTCTGTACTCCAAATGCAGTATGTGTAAGGTTTTTTTTAATTTACAGTGTTGTTAGAGGGTTAAATGTAAACTAATTCTGGCTGTAATTTTTTCAATAATATTGCTGTAATAGTTTTCCCATGGAAATTGTGCCAACTATTTATTGAACTTCAGATGAATTAGGATATGGCTCCGCTACGATAAAGTACCTTTTCTAACATGTTTTGTCTTATTTGAGTATGCTTCAAACTTCCTATTATTTCCAAGACAAGACATAGTTGGAGAATTTCATTGATTTAAGTAATCTAAAGCCAGTGGTGACCACCAAACTTTATGGCATCGGTAGTGCATTTTGCCTTCGTGCATTCATAAGATTAAGATCAAGAGCAAATGTCTGTTCAGCCTAACCCAAATTGGAAACTTTTAGCTTGTCTGGTCTCCTAACGTTCTAATATGCATTCAAAGTTTCTGTGGATTTATTTGCTAAATAACTGTATTGAGTTTCTGTATTCAAAAGGAAGCATATTTATGTTGTGCAACTAGAAAACTCATCAATAGCTGTCCAGTAGAAGAAAGAGTTCAGTTTTCTGTTTAATCCTGTGAAGGTTTTCATTGACATCACTAGATGATGGAGGGGCCATATGTGTCACAATAGTTTAATCTGTTAGCCAATGACATTTAAGGTGAGCTTTTGCATCTGAAAGGGCTGGACAAGTAACAGTAAAGTACACCTCTCTCCCTGAAAGAACAGTGCAGAGGGAATTTAAAACTGCTGCGCTTTGAAATGAGTCAGGTTTCTGGGAACCAAGCAAATAACACAGGTATGCAGTAAACAGTCTTTGTTGGTTTGAATTGCAGCTAATTTTATCCATTCCACTGAAAGATTCTGATAAAGTTTGCCTATATTTGAGTAAAGATTGTCTTTACTTACTAGATTTATACCTTGAAACCATAATTGGCTTGAACAAGCTATATCTATAATTTTCCCCATTTAGAATGTCAGCACATGAAAATAAGTACTTTGTTGAACACATTCTCTTTGCAATATTTTTGAGCTCATGATGTCCTGGACTGGATTTCATGGGGGCCAGAAAAGATGTAGCACCCTAAAGCAATCTGATTTGCACTTTGGAATCACAGTGACATGTGGTAGAACCTTGCAGGTTTGTAAACTCCTTGTCCCCTTTTTCTATACACAAATTGCCTTTTGCTTTGGGGAGGGCGTTAACTCCACTACTGTGTTATATTTTGATGGTTGTTAAAGGTAGTGATGGTTTAATTTCAGGTCAGAGTTTGCAAACCTACTTTTAACCATATTAATCATTTCTGCTTTCTAACCAGGGTTAGTTCTAATACCTGTACAGATGTGCTATACGGGGGCTAGTTCTGGTAGCAGGAAGCAATAGAAGAAGGAACATGTCAGGCCCCTGGCTGCTTTTGATCAGTTAACTACAGTTAGTTGAGAAACATTATGCCATATAATTCACCTGGCTTGTAGCAGCATTTCTGTAATACATCTTTGTCATCCCTGCTTTACATTTAATTTTGGTCAGTCAGTCGGTCACCTTTATTGGCATGTACAAATACTACAAGCAGCAGTTGAAGTGGGGGTACAAAGCCAACTATATAAGAGTTTATGTGGTATTTAAAAGAGAACATTATTACTATAACATTTCCTGACAGACTTGTATTGCAGACTGTAAAAACAAGGGCTAGCTTCTCAGTAGCTTTGGGTAAGCAATCGTTCAGGAGATGATAAACCTTAATGTGATCAGAAAGGCCCAACATTCCAGCTAAAAACAAGTTTAAATGTTTAACACACAAGTCTGCATATAAGTAGCAGTGGAGGAGGATGTGTGACATTGATTCGATGCAACCGGTCAATTTTACAATTAGATGCCTTGAGATACCATTGAGCTCCCTCCTGGCTGGTGAATAAACCTGAATAAATATGAAATTCTGGCCTGGGGCTAGAACAGGACCACACCTAATTAAATCCAGTTACCTGGGAGAGCTCCGGGATGAGTCTTACTAGATGTAATACCTTGCTCCAAAACTTGCACACAGATGACTGCATAATAATTAGGCGCTTCCCATAATCTCATCAGTGCATTTTGACACAAATAATCCTTGCTGCCTTTTACCCATGTCTGTTATCTAGAAATCATACCTATATTTGGGGGCAGACAACTCCTGGGAAGTCCTGGGTTCCAACGCCTGAGTAGTCATGTGGCCTGCCAGCTGACTGGACCCTTGACTGCCTCTTAGCCTCATTTACATCATTGGATTGTCGTGAGAATAAAATGAAGAAGGGAAACAACTTTGAGCTCTGTGGTGGGATAAAAGTTAGTTATAAATTGAAACTGAATCTTCAAAGGATTTATATTGCCTTAAACATGTCCGCTATATATTTTTTTTAAAATATGAAAGCTAGAAAGATATCTACTGCTGGAAAAATAAATCTTCAAACAATATTGCTTTATTGTGTCCAACAGCTCCCTTACTTGCATGTCTTAAATGTTTTGATAGAAAACGTAATTAATGCAGTATGTCTTGCATACTGTAAACTTGTTGCCTTCCAATGAACCAGCAGTTATATGTATGTAAGAGCCTGTTGGATCAAACCAGTGGTCCATCTAGTCCAGAATACTGTTTCACAAAGCAGCCAACCAGTTCCCCTGGAGGGTCAAACAAAAAAGGGCATAGAGGCCCTCCCCTGTCCTTGCTGTAAGGTTGCCAGCCTCCAGATGGGGCCTGGGGATATCCTGCTTTTACAACTGATCTCCAGCTGACAGAGATCAGCTCCCCTGGTGAAAATTGATGTTTTAAAGGGTGGCCTCTATGGCGTTGTACCATGCTGAGGCCCCTCCCCTCCCCA